TACAGACCAGCATTCCCTCTGGACCCTTTCTGGGAGTTTGTTCCCTGTGGTTTAGAGGCTGCATTTCAGCAAGCATGCGAGGTCATTGAAGAGGAGGGTGTTAATTGTCAATGCCACTTGCTCTGGGACACCTCACATTTCTTGTGGTTGTGTTTACAGCCCTGGGCCTCTCAAGGGTGCTTTAGCAGCACCATTCCCTGCTGTGGGAGTGCAGAATTGGGCTGATAAGGTTTCCTACTGCAGCAGAATCCCCCTCACCGGGGCAGCCTGTGAGATGAAGAGGTTAAGAAAACTTGGGAGTCCACAAACACTTGTCAAGCCAGGGAGGCCATGGGGGAAGCAGCTGGCAGAGACAAGACCTTAGAGGCTAGTCACTCAGCAAATGCAGCTGTCCAAACTGATTGGGAAGATGCAGATCGGTCCTCCCCCAAGTCCATTTAAACAAACCCTTTCTAACTTGCTTTGAAATTTTGCTTTTTCTGTTTGTATTGTTACTAACTATTTCTTATGTCACAGCGAGCTGTAAGAGGACTATCAAAACAGATATTTTCTAGCCGTGCTTCACGAGAATAAGAAAGAGTGAGATGTGACGGAACACGATTCAGGATGAAGAAAAGCATGCAGCAATTGGCAGGACTTTCATATGGACGTTGCTGTTATTGTGTGGTTTCATTGTATTCATGCTGCGCGGTGCACAACTGCACATGCCCAGACCTGCCATGAGATTGCCTGCTCCCTGCTTCCCCCACTCCTCCCCCTTTTGCCTGTGCCCTATTCTGATTTGCTCCCCTGTTTGTCTGTCTGATAGCCCACCCTCTGTTCTGCCCCTTTTTCCCTGGCGGGATGCTTAAGAATCGGGCGCACGCCTGAATAAAGAAGTCTGCTTGCACCCTTTCTGGTGTCCTGTTCCCCTTTTCGGACTGCGACAGAGGCTGTCTTCCAAAAGAATGGTCTAAGCAGTGTTTGTTTCGTGCTGCCTCAGGTTTCAGATACAGAAAACATCCTGGGCATTGTTCAGGCTGAAACCATCAAAGTCTCTGTGGAGGTCTAGGATGTTAATCTGAGCATCAACATGCCTGAAGGTCAGTGGATGCCTCCCAGACAACACAGTCCGGGTGCATTTTACTACCTTGGCAGGTGGGCAACCAAAGCCCTTGGGAGGGGATGGCATAGCAGGCAAGGGTGGCACAGATCCATAAAGCACAGACCTTGCAAGCTGCGTGAAGTAAAGCGCTGTCAGGGCACCAACAGCCTTGAGTCTCTCCCAACTGAACTTGGAAATGTGCAGCTTCGTGTGCAGATTGCATTTGGTGCTTTGGAACAACAGTCATCTGAACAGGCAGTTGGCAAGTCCCAAAGGCTCAGCACAGAAAATAAAGTAGCTGGATTTGTGCTTGGAAGCAAGGAAATGGAAACCAAGCTCCTTGGCTTCTACCCTGCAGATCCTTGGAGTAAGAAGAGAAAGGGCAGCCAAGTAGCTAGAGAACACTCCCGAGAAGGGACACTTGCTGAAGAGGGTTTTGTGCCATCCAAGAACTCCAACTGTGTAGCTTGTGACTGGGTGTGCTCTGCAGCAGCTCACAAATATTCACCATTTCTTACCTCGCTCTGCGGGTTTTCTGCAGGTCCAGATGGCAGCTTGGAATTTGGAACCATTAATGTCCTTGATAATAAAAAGGAAGTCCTGAGCCTGCAGAACAAAGGCTTATATGACATTGAGTACAGGTGAGTCCGGCTGCCTGGTGCTGAACTTTTCCTCAGGCTCCCAGGCCTGCGTTCTCCCTCTGTCCATGGCTAGAACCTGTTCTCATGCTGCTCCCTTTTTTTTTTTCTTCTGGTCCTATGCAGAGTCCTGGCTGTGCTGGTGGCACCTGTGCTTTCAACTGCAGAGGTCTTCATTCTTTCCCTTTCTCCACAGTTTCAAGCTGACCACTGGAAGTGCCAAGAGGGGCGACTTGGAATCTCCCTTCACTGTCCGGCCGCAGAGGGCTGTGCTGAAAGCCTCCCGGCCACCTGTGAAAGTTGAGGTCCTCTTCCACCCCACGACTGAAGTGTTTCTCGAGAGCAAACCCATCCTGCTCTGCCAGGTGAGCTGCCTGGGCCCAACTGTGTTAGCACAGTGTGTCTTGGGAGCAGAAGCAGGAGAGGTGTCTTGTGCAAAGCAGGCTTTAGCTGGGGCATCCTCTCTCCTACACACCCAAACAGAGACTTCCAAAACCATTTGGGAGGCTTCATAAGAGAGCTGGAAATCTGGCTCTGGAAGAGGCCTTTAAAAAGGGAGGGTGAGATGCTGGAGACCTGGGCTGGGGTCAGGGGACAGGAGTAGAGGCTGGCCTCTCTGCTGTGTTTACCAGCCCCTCCTCTGGTTGCAGGTCATTGATCTCAAATCGGGTCAAGGAGGCGAGACCGTTGCCACCATCCCAGTGAGGGTGTCGGCCAGAGCCGTGTACAGCAAGTACAGCATCGAGCCTGCCTCGCCCATCGA